GACAAAAGACTTCCTCGTTGGCTGGAATTTCCCGGTGCAGAGGGAACCAATATTACTGTATAGCATCGACATGAAGTCAAAAGTCCAAGAGAGGTTGTGTAGGTTGAGGAATTACTCTTTTCCTCCTCCTTCTCTCCTTCTATTTCTTCTTTCCCTCTTCTTCTCCTCAATTTCATCCTCCTCCTTCTTTCTCTTCTTCTATTTCTTCTTCCTCTACTTCTATTTCTTCTTTCTCTTCTATTTCTTCTCCCTCTTCTTTCTCTTTCTTTCTCCTTCTTTTCTTCCTCTATTTCTTCTTCCTCCTTTCTCTTCCTCTATTTCTTCTTCCTCTTCTCTCTCTTCTTCCTCTTCCCTTTCTTCTATTTCTTATTCCTCTTCTATCTCTTCTTCCTCTCTTCCCTTTCTTCTTCTATTTCTTCCTTCATCTCTCCAACTCGCAATCTCCCTTATAGACTGACGAAACGCGAAAAACTTGACAAGGGGGCGCTGCATACACCACCGAGGGATGAATGTAAAGGCAGATGGTGAACTTAGCCCTTCTCCTTCTCCTAAAATTCTTTTCCTCCATCCTCATCCTTCCTCTATCCCCATCTCCATTCCCACTTTCCTCTGAATTTGAAACTTTGAACGAGGTGGAACAACGGAGCCATTTCGTCAGAGTAAAGGCAGTAATGCTGAGCCAAACTAGACATATGGAACTTTTGGACATAGAAGACATATGCACCGTAGGGTCACCTTCAGAAAAAAGGTTTTGTTGAAGATGATAGTGAGTGACCTTGTAGGCGAGCGCGATGCAAAAAATTATCAGTCGGATGTATCTACATTGATCAAGGAGCGGGAGTTAATGTAGGTTGTAGACTAACAACATGGCGGAAGTTAAACGTATGGTGTGTAAACTAACAACATGGCGAGAAGTTAACGTACGGTGTAAACTAACAACATGGCGGAAGTTAATGTAGGTTGTAAACATTAGTCCGGCGCAACTTCTCTCTATCTACGCGCGTCCGTCTCTGTAACGCCTACCGCCATCTTTTATCAGGCAAATAATATAGCGAAATCTAAAAATGTTGAAACTGAAAATAATACCAAATTACATACATTACAAATATATATCTATATCTATCTATATATAAGTATGTATATATACACATATAAATTGTATATTATCTATCAAATTATCTATTCTAATTTTCATGTCGTCATATCGGGGGCGGTGAAAAATCATCCCCCTTGCTTCGTCAATGATAACAATCCAGTAATGAGATCAGGAGGGACGGATTTCAAGCTGAGTAGTAAGGTACCCGTAGTCTCCTAATAAATATTTTAAACAAGTCCATTCCATTTCTATTTCCCTTTACTATACGCCACGTCTCTCTTGACTTGCTATTACTTCGCCTGTTCATACATTTGGTCTCTTGGTACAGGTCCCTTTCTGGCAATACTAATTTAGGCAGCCGCACTATATTTACAAAGGAAAGTATAACAGAATTATTGACTAGAGTTCGTACCTGTCGGGGAAGTTATTAAAATTGTGGGGACCTCACTGGTTGTGCTTTAATTGAAATTCAAAAGTTTGCCTCTCTAAAGTCAAAACCTTGTTGTCTCGGACCATCTCGAATGTAAACAATACTGTGAGCTTTCTGCAAAATGCAAAATACGGGGGTTTGGAAGGTATGCTTCGTTTATATTGCAAATACCCCAGGTGAGGGGTAAGGAAATACGCCCAGGGAAGGGGTCCGGTTGGGTTGGGTTGGGTTGGGTTGGGTTGGTTGGGTTGGGTTGGGTTGGGTTGGGTTGGGTTGGGTTGGGTTGGGTTGGGTTGGGTTGGGTTGGTTGGGTTGGGTTGGGTTGGTTGGGTTGGGTGGTTGGGTTGGGTTGGTTGGGTTGGGTTGGGTTGGGTTGGGTTGGGTTGGGTTGGGTTGGGTTGGGTTGGGTGGGTTGGGTTGGGTTGGGTTGGGTTGGGTTGGTTGGGTTGGGTTGGGTTGGGTTGGGTTGGGTTGGGTTGGGTTGGGTTGGGTGGTTGGGTGGGTTGGGTTGGTTGGGTTGGGTTGGGTTGGGTTGGGTTGGGTTGGGTTGGGTTGGGTTGGGTTGAGGTTAGGGTTAGGTTAGATTGGTTTAGGTTGAGAAATGTCGGATTTTAGCAACACTGACACCGGCGCATCTCGCAACGGCGCGCCGCCGGAATCTCGTTCGGATTTTGCATTTTTTTTCAAAATTTTCACTTTTCATTCTGCTATTTCTTCCGTGTGTGTGCCACCCCCTACCTCCAACCCCCCATTCTCCACGGGTCACCCAAGAGTGAAGGGGATAGGAGAAAAAAATAATAATAGGCGCGGCTGTCTTACTTAGATTTACCTTTCTTAAGCTCTGCT